TACTCTCTCCCAGTTTAAAAGCCTGGCCCAGAATGCTCCCCTCCACCTATTTTGTCTAAAGTGTCATTTATCCAGTAAAAATGTCCCAGCGCAAGCCATGGGGCTGCTGGCAGTGCTGTCACTGAGCCATTGCTCCCCGGATTTCCCTCAATGGATTGGTAGCACTTCTTGGCAGGACTGTGGCCCACACAGGAAATATCTCAGCAATGGGAAGTCCAAGGAGCACAAACGAGAGTTCGCATTTTACAAACTAGTTACTGGAAAATTAACATTTATTCTTCTTTTCCTCCTTGACTTTCCCCCCAGTTCCATTCTGTGTGTGTAACACTGGTGCTTTATTATAGTGATACCTGTTTGCAGGAGCCAGACTGTGGCAGGGGGTCCCTGTGGGGTCTTTCTAGTGCCTGTGTAATATTAAAGTGTCAGGCAGGCAGGCTGGGTATTACAAATAGGGTACTTCATCCATGAGAAGAGATTATTATCTTCCTTTCCCAAGTGTAAAAGACCTGTATAACTCACCAAGGTGCAAGTGATTTAGGCCTCCCGAGTCAAAATCCAATGAGTCCTGAAGGGGACCCTCTGATGTCGTTGTCTTGTTGCTGAACTTGAGATATTCCATTTATTATACTGGAATATATTTTCTGAAGTCAACATTGGGTAAAATAATATGAGAGGCTGTTAGAGCAACAGCAAAACAGGATTTAGTGGCCCTCTGTGGTGGCCTTCTAAAAACCTTAATCACCCTTGGAAAAAGCAGAAAGCTGCTGTTACCATTTACTGGCCATTGGTGAGCAAACAGCATCAGTTAATGCTTGGAACTGCTTTAATAATTGAGGAAAAAAGCGAGTTTCATGGTTTTTTTCAATTCATTAACAATTATATAGTCTAAGTTGCTCAAAGTTTTATGCATATTCTTAAAGTTTTATGCACGTCTGTTTTTATTATTTCTATTTAGATAACTCTTAGAAGCAGAATTGTGTGCATGACTTGGCATATTTGAAAGACTAAGGTGACGTTTTTGACCAGTTTTGCTTTTATCCATATGTTTTATTGAGTTACAACTGCAAGAAGAGAAAGCATGGATAGCAATGGCTTGTTTCACAGATAAAGTGAAAAGGTGTTTTTATGCTTTCCAAAAACGTGATTATCTAATATTTGTATTATCTAACATATATTAGATAATAATTGTAATGTCAAACGTCTGAAATTAAAATAAAATACCATAAAATTAAACTTTTTTTACTACCAGTGAAGAATAAATTGTGAGTTAATAAGTAGAGCTCAAGCTTTTTTTTTTTGTGGATCTCATGGTGCTACCTACAAGTGTAGACAGTTATTCCCATCCCAGATTTAGGCAATGGGAAGGATATCACCTAAATGCTAGGATAACTGGTGCCAGTCTGTGTTTCACAGGACAAACAGAGAACCATTATTAAGCAGGGAAATGGTAACAAATTCTAACTGTAATTGTACCCTTCACAGGATGGCCAGCAGTCCCAGGAATAACTCCGTTCAGAAAGCCACACAGGCGGAATATTCCCAAGGGAAGAAGTCCCAGCATACAGAAGAAGCAAACTTCTACCTGAACTGCAGAGCAGCTTATCTGACTGTTCTGAAAAGCAGCTTGGAAAATATCAAATCCAGAGAACAGCTCAGCCTAGGTAATGATTTGATCCTTTTCCCTGTGTGGGAAAAGGGGACAGTGGGTGGTGTACAAGCAGTTCAGCACTGAGAGTATCCCAGTGCATAGGCTCAGTAATAGTTTTAAGGAATTCATAGTAGTTTTGGATAAGGATCAGATTTCAATATCTTTGAAGACATTTTCGTATTATAAAATATCACATAGTGATTTTTTGAAGTTTGTAGGAACTGCCGTTCCTCAAAGCTTTTCATTTTCCTCAAATCCTTAATCTTTGTTGCTGGGTGTTGGATGACTCATGGAAGTGAGAATATCAGACAGAGCTTTTTCTCTGTAAATCACCAGTGTGAGTTGCTCTCAGTTCAGTTTAGGTTGGGCAATTGCCCTGGCACAGAAAATCACCAGAATTGGTATTACATAGGAATTCTTACTCTGTATTTCCACTCCTACTGAGTTAGGATGCTTTCACAGAATGAAATAAAAAGTTTTCATTTTTTAATCCAGACTGTGTTTGTGTCAAAGTAGTTCCTGTCAGCAGTACAGCAGGAAAGAAATCTCTCTGGCTGCTTCAGCTGCACTAAATAAAGCTGTTGGTAGAATCTGACTGTACTTCTGTGTTACACTGGTTGGAGCTTCTTTCCCTACAGCAGTACATGAAATCCTACCCATCAGCAGGCACATTCTTACAGCATGTGACTTAGTGCTCTCCAGGCTTCCTCAGCTGTAATAAAAGTGCCTTTATAACATCCTAATGATAGTTTAGGATAATCTGGATTTTAAGATAGGGGTGGTGTGAACAAGTGTCATCTCTTTAATATATGCTTTGGCTTTCATCTCTATCCACGTGCCACTCAGCTCCATAGCAAGTGTTTGGGCATTTTGGTTTCAAGGTTAACTTTGAGAGGGCAATTAGTTGCTCAGACTCCCAGTCTTTTCAGAAGTATTTAAGAATTTGTGTTAGAATTTGTAAGCATTGAGAATTATAGAATTATATTGCATCTTAATTCTGGCATTTCTCAAATGTGCTAATGTTTAGACATCTCTTGCTACATGATGTTTGGCTGATACTCTAAACTGTAAAGTATTCAACTTAGAGAATGGCCCTGTGACATTTTATTGCTAGGAGTTTTGCTTATTCACAAGTGGTAGCTTCATTTCCTGTGCATTGTAATAATACTGAGGTTATTCAGCAGAATCAGTCCATAAAGAAATATAAATAAAAGGTGCAGGCTAATTGAATTTTCACAAATGCAGACTTGGGAGGCAGGTAGGGTGTGGCAAGTGCTGATCTCCCTGGATATATGAAAACACAGAGTTGTACATTAGAAGGATAATCTGTTAAATGTAAGTAAATACTGTGCTGTGCTGACATTCCAGGGAACTCTGCTATCCACAGAAACAACCACACAGAGTAACTGCCCTTCCTTGGCTGACCTTGACACTGCAATCTCCAAACAATTGCTTTGTGCCCAAGCGTGGCACAGATGAAGATATAAACTGTGCTGTGTCCTCCTGGCGCTGCCTGCAGAGGTGACAGGGCAGAAATCTTTATTTAGTCCTTGGCATTCAGCTGCAGATTAGCAACAAAGGTGTCTGGTTTTGTTTGTTTGTTTTGATGGTGACACAGTTGCCCACCGAGCATTGTAACGATGCCACCACCTCATTTCACAGATGGTCCTGGGCAGTTCTCAGCACAGGCCTGGTCAGTGCTCAGCTGGCTCAAAGTCAAATGTCAGCCCAGGTGGAGATGAAGGATCTCTTGTGCTTCCCTAAAAGACTTGATTATATGGCAAGATACAGAGGCATCCCTCTGGATTCACACAGACTGTTCATTTGAGTTTCATTTCAATTTAACGTCATACCTTCATCACACTGAGAACTGATGAAAGGATGTTTGCAGTATGACTTGGAAGAGGCAAACTAGATCTGGGAAATTAATGTTGAAGAATGCCAGGTGTGAGATCCAAGGCACTGGTTGCATGTGTGGGCTTGGCTGTTGGCTTTAATGTGTATCTGTTGGTATCATTTTTCCTTTCATGTTGTGTAATTGGAATTGATAAGCTCGAATGTGTAGATGTGACAGAAAATATTGTTTAAGATAAATTCTACACTAGATCTCAGTTTTTGGCAAACTAAGTGGAAAGACAGATTTTAGTAGAAACAGGATCTAATAATGTGCAGGTTTACAAATAATGTGCTATTGATATTAAGGCACAGGATATAGGCTGAATTTTACACTTGTCACTTGGGAAGACTTGTCTTTGAATTTGTGGATATTTTGATTGAGGCTATACCCAAGACTGTCCTTTAGACCCACTTTTCCCTTGGAGTGATTTGGCTTAAAAAAAAAAGTCTGAACATGGAAAATGATTCAAGAATGTTTTGAGAAAACTCCTTTACTGACAGCTGGAATATATAGTTAATATTGTGTTATATTGTTCAGTACTTCAACAGGCTGGAAGAAACCCATCTCAGAAGACCATTAATAAATATTGGACTTCACAAACAACTGCACTGAATTTTGATGATTTTTGTGCTATTTTAAAACAAGAAAAGCCAGTTACAAAAACTGAGCTGCTCGAAGCATTTGGAAAAATAGACACAGATAAAACTGGATATATTTTACATGATGAACTCTATAAAATCCTTACAACAGTAAGTAGCAGTGGAAACTCAGTTATCCATCTTTAACCATTTGTAGAGATTTTGGAAATGAGATGGTAAAACTATGCTACAGTATAAGAATGATTGGTTTGTTTTTTTTATTGCAGAGAGGTGATAAAATGACTTGGGCTGAAGTGAATGCAATTACTAAACAGGCTGATTTTAACTGCAGTGGCAAACTTGATTACAGCAAGGTATGGCAAACAGAGATACTTGGTTTTGTGTTACTGACTTGGTGTTATTGTCTCCAGCAAACACAATATTGCCACCTCCATGTGTCTAGTGATGATCTTACCCAGGATCCCAAATTGCCTGTGACTAAATTGTGAACTGGATAAACAGCTCGCAAAGATTTATGCATAGGTATAGTTTCATAGGAGGAAAGCTAATATGATTTTTAATGAAGGATTCTGTCTTCAAATTTCTAGAAAGAAATATAAATCATCTGTTGGGTTGAAAGTCAAACTTAATTTTTATTCAATATTTGGACCTCCTTGTTGAATGGCTCTACTTTACTGTGTTACTGGAGTGGTTGTTCTGATTCAGGAAAATTAAAATTGTGCTTGAATAGAAAATGCGTCACATCTGCTGACCTGTCCTTTCCTTATTGATGTTAATTTTACTCCTTAAAACCATGAGAAAGGATGTTTCACTAACCAGATTCCCTTTCTTTCCTTGCAGTTTTGTGAGTTGTACCTGAGCACCAGGGAGCAGAGCTGCAGGACTGCCCGGGAGAGGCTGGAAGTTGACAGTAGGTTGAGGCAGCAGCAGTTTGGGAATCAAGCTGAAACTTCCTCTGAAGGGATCCCGCTGCCAGTGCCAAAACCATCGCCCAGAATCTCCAAGAAAACTGATCACAAACTACCAAAAGGTGTTTGTATTTCACATTGGGAGTTTTCTTCTGTTGGAGGTGAAGCTCTGGGCCAATGAGCAGTTGAGTTTTTGTTGAATTTTTCTCAGATTAGTGAGGATGTTATTGATTAGTGTAATTTCAACAGTGACAATCACATAAATATCTCAGCAGAATATGTTCTCAGATTGCTAAGAATAAGCTCTCAGATTCCTAAGAGTGAATTCTGTTGGCTGTCATGTGACACAGCCCAGAGGGAAGAGAGAAAATGAATGCTCAGATGTTGCAACATAGACAAGTTATTTATTTCCTTCCCAGATCAGAGCTGAAACCTTAAACATTTATCAATAAAATGTGTGTTTGTTTCAATTATCGAGGCTGCTCTTCCAGCACAATCAATAGGGGAGTTTAATGTTCTTCCAGGAGTTACAAAGATTCTTTAAAACCTTCCCAAACTGGAAAAAGACCACAGGTAACAGACTGCAGAAGTGCAATGTATGGAATATTGCATGGAATTTGTGCTGGTTGCAGTTGCTTCAATTCTGGGCAAAAAACCATTCTGACAAACCAGTGATGAAGGGACTCAGTTTGTCTGTGTGCTTACAAACACAAGGTTTATGATAAATAGCACTAGGAGGGGGTTGAAATAATGTAATTGTAACTAAATATCTGTGTTTGTAGCTGACAGCAGAGCTCCTTCAAGGCCCTCATCAGCCCAAAGTGGCAAAGCTTCCACTTGTCCCGCTGTCAGTGTGGGTTCCAGCAGCAACAGGAGCACAAAGCTAATTGAGCCCGACACAATGAAGGTATCACACTGAAATTATGCTGTTTTCCTCCAGGCACACATGTTATTGCATTTTAAATAAGCTAAAAATCAGAGAAAAATGACTTCTTATGTTTTATTAATAGTTTGTCAAGGACAGCTATAAACTACTGAGAGTTTGATATGTGTTATTATTAACATTTTTATATACTGTTGGTTTTGCTGACATCTAGTTATTGAAAATAATTTTTCAGGTGTGAAGGTTTAATAGAACCAAGTGTGTTTTTTTATAAATGAAACCACTGTTGGAGAAAACGTTTTAATGACTTCTTGAGAAATTTAAAGTTTAATAATTTATTAGGTTGGTGAGAACTTTAAATGCTTAAGTAGTCTGAAAGATTGTGTATCATAAACCTTTACATGAAAGGTAATTGGAAATAAATAACAGATCTGGGAGCATATTCAGTTTGTTGGGCATTACTTTCTAAATATATGCTATAGCCTGAAAATATTGATTTTTAGTTAAACTAATATGTTCTATCAGTATTTTCTTTTGAATAAATCACTCATTCAATATAAATTCCTGTGGGAGAGAGACAACAAAGTCACTTTGCTAAGTCAATATTTGTAGAGTGTTAATATTGATCTTTTTCCTTTGTTTTCCCTTTCCTGACTGAACCTTTACTAGTTTTCTTTCACCAGAAAATAATAGCTGCAGAAATATAAAGCATTAACTGGAAACTGCTCAGATACATTAAAAATGTGCACCTTGAGACTCCTGTATAAAAGGGAAAAAATGGTTATGACCACATAGTGTAACTGCTGCTGGAAAACTGAACTGATTGTTCTCAGGAGCTACATTTTTGTTTCAAATAACAACTCTGGATTTGTTATTGAACTCTGAAGTCCTTTATATCTTCCACATTGCTGTACAGTGACATTTGTTCTATATGAAAATTTAAAAACATCATCTCAGAGGAATTTTTTGCAGTCTGTTTTGGTATCTGGACCTCCATGCAATTTAACCTGCAATTTCACCTTGTTCAAGCCTGATGTGTGGTGTACAAAAGCAGCACACACTTAGCTGAGATTGGATTCTTCTTTCTTTGCACAAGCCAGTAAGAACTGACTGAAAAAACCAAAGCAGCTGCAGATATCAGTTAGTATTGATTAGCATCATACAAACCCTGCAATCAATCGATAAACATGAAAAGGTAGAACTAGAACTGTTAATTTTTATAAACTCTATTTTGCACAATGCAAACTCTGTCAGAATCAGTGAATAAATAAATACCCAGGGATTCATTTGTGGTGTGGATCAGAATGTAGCACCCAAAAATTCTTCTTAGTCATCTTCTATTCAGAAATATGTATTTATTTTTCTCTGCTGTTCACCTGTGGTTTTGGGGCAGTAAGAAAATATTGCCATGAGGAAGTTGGACCAAAGCCAGTGTAACATTTCTGACAGAGGAGAACACTGGAAGTCAAAATACGGTAAATGTCTGAATTAAAAAACCATGGAATGTGTTCCTAGTGCATTCTTCCATGGGTTTTCTTTTTCTCAGTGGAGTTTTGGGATGTGTTCAAAGCCATATCAATAAATTTTGGGAGGAAAGAAACCAGCCAGTTACAGATGTGCATAAACATCGTGTTGACCTGTTGGGCTTCAACTGCAGCTGAATCCCAGTTCATGAAAAGACTGATGGAGATGTTTAATTTCTGCAGAGTGTTCTTGGTGTTGGTTTTAGTCAAGATTGAAAGACATCAGGAAAAAAAGAGAGTGGATCACGTCCTAAAAGTGGAGCTCTTTGCTTTAATCACAGGAACAATTCCTGTCACAAACACTGTTTTTTATTTGGAATTCTGCACCGGTGTGTGGACAATTTCAGTAGTAACTTAAATTGCAGTAGCAGTGACCAGCAGCAGGTAGTGCCTAAATTTCTGTACAATCAACATTTCTAACACAAACATTTCCCACTTTGGCTGTTATTTGACAACTTCTGTTATGCTTTGAAGTGACGTAGTAAAATCAAACCAGAAAATCATCTTTTATCTTCCCAAATGTGCCTATTTGTAATTTGACATGGATAATTTAGGGCACTTAGCACCACCTTATGCTCTCTGCAAGAATAACAGTTCAGGATTTGATTTCCTAAAGCTTTGATCAACTTTTTGTCCAGCAGTTCTGTCAGGTATTAAACTGGGAGACTAAATGAGCAAACACCCACTTATCTCAACTGTGTCATGTTTTAAGGATGAAATAATTGTTGCCTTTAGATCAACATCTTGGAGGAACATAACAGTAAATAATTTGAGATTAAGATAGTTTCCAGCTATGTGAAATGAATGAATGACAGGTGTTTAGAATAGAGGAGCTGATCCTGTTCTCACAATAGTCAGTGGCAAAACTTAAGGCTCTTAGATCCATGAGTCCCTGAGTACCCATTAATCCAAACCAGGGAAGGCAAATCAAGGATGTCTCACATTCCTCAAGGCATACAGTGTGTCTGTATTTATTTTATCTCTTTTTTTTTTTTTGCCAAAGAAGTATCATTCTAATGATATTTGAAATTGAAAATTGGGAGCTGCTGTTCAGAAAAAATAAATAATTGAAGCACAGGGCTGTTTCAGCAAAATCATGGTATCCCTAGAAACATTATTATTATTCACAAACACAGCACGTTTCAGTTTGCCTTTCCAACAGCTTTGACAGAAGTCAAGAAAATTCACATTATTTGACCAGTACTTGTGTTTGTGATTTGTCTGAGCAAATAATCCCTCATTGCTCAGCTAATCAGTTGTGTTCCTTGCTTGGTTGGCCTGAGGGATGTAGCAAAATTCCAGCCTTTTGGTGGTAAATCACACAGTTCAGAGAATTTCATGAATTCACTGGCAATTCAAATTTGATTTTATCTGTTTGAGCATTGGGGGAATCTGTTTTTGAGGCATTTTCACAAGCGAAGCAATAAAAATTGACTACAAAAAGGACTATTTGAGATAATTCTTGTTTTTAAACTAGGGTATCAGTGCTGTATCTTGTGTATTTTGTGCAGGATTTATTAAATAATAAAATCAATATTTCAGAGGAGGTGCTTTTATCTTGATCAGAGATAAAATCTAATACTCACTCGGTTCCCAGGAATGGCAGTGTGCACAATCCAAAGGCTGCTTCTACTTGGAAGAAGATGGTGAAATCATCAGTCACAAGTACAGGGTGCACTTCCCTCAGAGGTCCTCAGTTTGTGTCACCATCAAGCCTTTAAATGTTCCCCAGGTAGAAGGTGAGTGTATTTTTATTTCATTTTCCTCTTCAAAAGAGTGAAACCCACCATTTGATCCACCTGGGATCAGTCAGTGCTTTCCAAACACTTTGTGGTTTACTGAGGGGCTTTGTCTTGTTGCTGCATTGGAATTATTTTCTCTCCAAGAAGATTATTTCTTTTCTAATCCTGTAAAACAGGAGCCATGAGATTCCAAAGTTGGTTTAGACTCATCTGTTGTGCTACAGGTTGGTGATTGATTCTGACTGAAGCTGGTAATAAAAACTTCACTGCAAATAATTGATGGAAAATAGTCGTTTTCCAGTTACTGCCTGGCTGAAATGGGAAGCTGATCAACAGACTTCAGTGAGAAAAAGGGATCTGAATCTGACAGATTGGAGTAATTTAACAGATCTGAGGATGTCTCGGTGCTCTGCTCAGAACTTTGGGGTTTTTTATGGCACCCTTTGTACCTGTACCTTAGATGGTTCTGCTGCAGGATTGTCCAGACATTGTCTGTAACCAAAAAAAAACCTCATCTTTTGTATAAAAACATTCTACTTTTGCCCAATATTATTGTCCTGTGTATAGAACTATCTCCATGTTTTCTTGTGGAGAGGAAGGCACAATGCTGGTGTGTAAGGAAAGGATCCATGTCAGCAGAGCAATGACCTTTTTAGGAGAAAAATGTCTTCACTTTTTGAACACTTTTTGTGTGGTGTGTAACCACTCTTTGGTATTCTTGACTCTTAATGATAGAGCTGTTCTATCAATACTTCCTAATGATAGAACTATTAATAGGAATAATTATCTGTAAGACAATCACAAGGCTTGGAACAATTTCTCTGATTGGCCTAAATAGGAAGGAAATCCCAGTATCATATAATGGATTCTTAATTTCCATTTTACACTAACAGGGATCAATATTATAAATACCATGAATATATCTATTTTGAGGTCCAGGGAAAACCACTTTTGTGCCATCATTAAGCATTTATGTGTGGGATATTTTTCTTTTTAGGAAGATCTTGTCACTGGTTGTCAGTGGATACAGCTTTATTTATTCTGAAGGAGAATGAAACCCAAGAGAATCTACAGCTTGTGAGCTTTACTGAAGTACAAAACAAAGAGGTCAGATATTGTTGTGTTCCAGTTCTGATTGTTTGTTATTTAGTGTGTATGTTGATATTATATGGGTGAGTCCCATGTGATTGGAAGGAGTTCAAGCTGTGCTAGTCAGGTTAGAGAGAAGCAGCACATTTTCCATCCATGTTCCCTTTCAAAACTGACAGCACTTGTGCAAAGTAAGATGTAACAGAATCACAATTCTACATGTATGGAAGTTTAATGGAATTCTTGTAAGAACCACATTATTGTGTGACATGTTGGCAAGTATTGCTGAGTTGCTGATTACATTTACAGATACTCTCAGAAACTCACTTTATTCCTGCGCCTTCAAACCCAAAATTTCAAAAGCAAAATGTGTTAAAATTTCCTCTAATTTTCTTTCTCCTTCCACATATGATTTTGAACTTCACAGAGCACAGGATATTCTTATCCTCTGACAGAAATAAGGGAGGAGAAATGGCAGCATTAACTTAGTTCTCCCTTCTGCCCTCATCTCTGGTCCTGTATGTTTTCTTTAAATCTTATTGTAAGAGATTCACTAGGTGTTTTTATCTTTAAAATGGCATCTCTAAGGAAAGCACCCAGCATTACCGTTGTTTTCAAGTGATTAATCACTTTTGTCTGGATATTACTGGTAATGAAGAAAGGCATCATTTGAGAAGTGAGTGACAAACTTGCCTGTGTTCCTCCAAGAGCAGATGTTTGGCTGGAAAGGGGAGCTTGGATCTGGGAATTACTGGCTGCTCCCGTTCACAACAGGCTGCAGGCTGAGGAAGGGGAGAACACAAGTTACTGAAGAAGCAAAATTGGTGTATAGGGATGAAGATGGAGAGCTGGCTCTCACCAAAGACTTCAGGTGAGTCATATTCCCAAACAGGAATTCCCAAACTTTCTGAGGGTGTGCTCCAGCTAAAGTGCAGCTTTTTGAAAGCTGTATCTTCCTAAAGTACTCTTTATACAGGATATTCTCAAATAGACTGAACAATTCCTGACAATATTATGAGCCAGTAAAGCAAACAGAAGCCTTTGGAAATAGTTTTGCCTTTTTTAATCTTTCAGAGCTGCTTTATTGGATATATTTGAAACAATAGATTTGGATGGGAATGGCCTCCTGAGTCTGGAGGAATACAACTTCTTTGAGCTGAGAACTAGTGGAGAGAAGTGTGATGAGGAAGCATGGGCTGTGTGTAAAGGTAAGTTCATTGCTGTACTTAATTAAACTAATTAGGGCCATCAATCTACTTCCAGGTTTTACGTGTATGGTATAGAAGAACTGAGTATTTTGTAGCCTATTCCAAGAACACATGTGGATGTTGTTCTCTTCTCCTTTTGTTTTCCTTTTTCCTTTTCCAGTCTCTTGTCTTTTGTTTTGCTTCATTCTGGTGTGTGTGCCACTGACCTTCTGCTGAGAAAGTTCTTCCCATTCCTAATTGTTTTGTAGCTGCCAAAAACTACAGGTTTTCTAATCCTGGATCCCGTGGTGAATGAAACTGTAACAGGTATTTGTTTAATCCCTGTCCTTTGTGCAGAGTAGTCTGGGGCTGCTTTCCTATCTCACAAAGGGTTGAGAGGTTCATTTTAGTAGTGTCTGTGGTGCTATAAAATGGCATCCAGAGTTGCTGTGGATTGCCAGTGTCTCACTGTGTATCAGCCCCCGTCATGTTTGACATAATTCCTTTGTAGGCTGTGACATGCTGGCTGAGATACTTTAGATCTGGCAAATCCTTCTAATCATTTCTCCCCAAAACACTCCAAGGTGTTGGATTTTTTTCCTAATTGATGGAAAACTCATATAAAATCCTTTTCTCTAACTTTCTCCTCTGTTTCGTCCCTGTACTTTTCCACACTTGGACTCTGCACTTATCTCCACACAAGTAGGAGGGGTAAATATGTGTCAATAAATAAGGGAGGAAAGAGGAGAATCTGGTGAATGTTTTACCATGTCATTAATCAGTTGAAAGGGTTCAGACAAATATCATAAATCTTGATACCAAAGTTCAAGCCATTTATTACAGCAGCTGTACCCTTGGATAGATTTATTAAATTGGTAATCCCTTTTTAATAATATATAGTAAAGATTTAGCATTGTTATGAAGATGAGAAAACCATTTTTAAAACTCTCTGACACAAGGACATTTCCATTATGTGTTTGCTGACATTAGAGTGATATCTATGATATTCTCCCTAGAGAGGGGTGTTAGGATTACTGGAATTTTATTGCTTTTTAGGAACTAAGTAAATCATTTCTATATCAAGGACCTCAAGCACTAAGGGTGCTGGTTCCAGCTGACTTTCATTTCCCGTTCCTAAGATACCCCTTTCTGCAAAACTCAACCACAAAGTTTTAGCATAAAGAAAAAAATCAATATCAACTGTTTGTGTTTTGAAATCTCCCCCTCTTTCAGGTTATCCAAGGGACCAGCTGTTTCTAGGTAGTATCCAAAATCCACAGGGCAGCTCTGCAAAGAGCACGTGCCTGGTCAAGGACAGTCCTTCCCAAATAATAATGGAGAGCCCGAGGTTGCAAAATGGCTCCATCTTTTAAACGTTGGCTTTGGAAGGATAGAGGGTGTTTGCAGAGAGAACAGGTTTTTGAGGAATACTTTCTGTTTCCTTTAAACAGAGAATTTTGAGATGAAGAAGAATGAACTCACGAGACAAGGATTCCTGGATTTGAATCTCATGGAAGCCATGGACCGGGAAGGGGATCCCAGTGACCTCTGGGTCACTCTGTTGTCCCTGGGCTACAACAAGGCCTTAGAAATGACAGAGGTATGAGGGACACAAAGCAAACCCAACTGCTCATGTTTAACTGCAGCACTGTTTGTGTCTGCCATGAACTGATTCCAGCAGCTCAGGGATCCACTCCAAAATGGTGAATTCAGGATTTACCCTGTTTCCTAGGATAGCACTTGGATTGCTGGAAGAGGAAGTTTTCTTTTTGCTTTAGAGAAAGACAGGATTTTGTGGGTTGTAGAGGAAGAAATTTTGGATTATACCCATTGAAAGAGTTCATTGCCCTTGCTGGTGAGATGTGATAAGACAGTGATGGTAAACTGTGACCTCTCAGCAAACTTAGAAAATGCAGCACTTGCTCTCCTTAAAAAAGCCACTTTCCTGGCCCAAACCACAACAGAAATGGATCATTTTTTTCCACATGATTCAGAATTCCTAATTTTCAGACATGACTATTTCTGTTATTGTTGCCTTTCACAACAGTGTCTGAATGTGTTCAACATAAAATTTTAATGAAGAGGCTTTGGGTGACACACTGTTTACTTACAGGCCCAGGGATTTTTTTCTAACGTGTACATACACTTAGATATTTTATTTTATTATTTTATTTCGTTTTTTAAATTTATTTTTACAGAAATAATTTTGGTGTTAATAGTTCTCGCTCAAGAAAGAGGATCTTTTTAATGAAGAGGAAAAAAATTATGAAAACTTAAAGAAAACATTAAATATACAGATAATTAAATATTTAAGTTTCGTTCCCAAGAAAAGACTTCTAGGATCATAGTCTGATAATGTCCTTTAACCTTATTAAAGTAAAACAGGTTAGTGTAGTCACTGTATAAAATATCTGTGTGAAACAAATAAATGCAGACCCCAAAACAGTCAGTATGAGAGATACGAGCTCTCAGTGAAAATCTTGGCATCCTGGTGAGTGATTTCACGAGGAGCAGTTTCTCCTTTTCCTCCAAGCTGTGGTTGGCAGAGCCCCTGCAAAGCTGTTTTTCTGCATTTCAGCCGCGAGAGGGAGCAATCCTCCAAGAAAGAGGATTTTGGGGAGGTTTTTATCCAGTTGGGAATTTCGGGCAGGTGTTTTGTGCCTTACACCAGCTGTGGTTTATGGCTCCAGCCTTTGCTTTCCAAAGGACAACATTAATCTAAATATCTCCATCTGTTAACTTGTGTCTATCACTTAACACTTTAATTCCTTGATTTCAAACAATTCAAGAGTGGTGTTTTGGGAGCATTGAGCCTCTAACAAATTAAAGGCAGAACTTGAGAAATCCTGGTGGATTCCAGCAGGCATTTGAAAGGAACTGAGGTGCTGTTACTGTATCTGAAAAAATGCAAACTCCTGGTTGTTACACCAGGAGTAACATTGCTTGATGCAACAGGGCAGGTGTATTAAATCGGTGGGAAGTGGCACAAATAGCAACAGTGTGGCAGGGAAAGGAGTCAGGGTTATTTCAGACCCTGGAATACATTTGTGCTTCATCCTAATTCCTGTGCATTTTGCTGTCCAAGGAAGGGTTTCCTGTGTTGGAGCTGAATGCACCAAACTAGATATTGAGTGTACTGTGGCTGGCATGAAAAATGTCATTTGTCCTCTGAAATATTGCCACGGCTCTCAGGTTTGGCATATTTGATATTCAGGGACATGTGTATTTGGGTAATTGTACTTCAGAGCAGATATGAAAATACTGAGGAGCTGTGGATGAAAATCCGAGGGGAAAAGCTACAGCTCAGGTGATGATAATAAACCCCATATTTTCCATTGCAGGCCTGTCCCTTTGTCATTGACATCTATTCAGAGAGATGCAAACCCCGAATTAAAGCCATGTATCTGGAGGCAGGGGGCTCCCAGCTCAGCAGGGCTGTTTGCAGGGCCGTGGTGAATAAAGGAGAGCCCAAAGTGCTGGATGGCTCTGAGAACACTGTGGTCCACACCTACAAATCAGGCAGGAGAATCACTTCTGTTATTGAAAATAAGGTATGGCATGAGACCTCTGTGAGGTACTTTGTGGGAATGTCTATTATTACAGTTCTTCCTCCCTCCTGTTTGTCATATTTGAGAATTACATTTTCTGATATCACATTTTTGTATCTGTTTCATAAAAAAAACACCCCAGTGCCTGATGTGCTCCTTTTGACATATGACTCGGACTTCTAAACATCAGTGTCAGAAAGGACAGTTTATTAAAATGAGGCAACCAGTTCTAAATATCATATAGAATCTGAATATTTTTGTGTTCACATTCCAATTTTTCAGTATTTTGATAATAATTAGAGACACAATATCATCATAATATGAGAAAACAAACACTAAGAACAGGAAACAAAATTACAGAAAGTTCAAAGAATACAGCATTTACACTATTTAGCATTTTCAGCGTCCACAAGAAAGTCAAAGAACAGTGATTTGCATTGATTGTGTTATGGATGAATTATTAACTGGTTAGTCCTACAGGATTATTACTAATCCAAGCTAAGAATTGTAAATGCAAGCAGAAGTGGTTGGTGAGAAGCAGAGATTTTAAACCTTTCTGCATAGAACATAATGAACCTGCTGTTCCTTCTCAGTCTCATTTGTACCCGGAACTGTGAGTAAATAAACACAGCTCAGTAAGATGCTGAACTTAAGATGCTTTAAATCTGAAAAGATCACAGCAAGAAATATATTTTTAAAAGGAGAGACATGCAAAAGGGAATGGCTTAGAGGACTAATATTAGGCTCCCTGAACTCTGGGTATAGATGTGCCCTTTAGGGTAGATGTTCCAGAGTTATTTATATGTTTGGGAATATGTCAGAGAAGGAGGTGAGGTCTGCACTCAGACAGCTGGATGCTCTCTGGTATTTCAGTGAGTCTTCCATTTCTGACGGTAGATCTGGGCTCTGTTGGTGCAAAGGTACATTTGAAACTGTTACTCTTCAAAAAGTATCCTTAAAGCATTTCTGTCCTGTAAAATAGCAAAGTCAGAGGAGGCCAGAGGGATGTGTAGTCCTTACAGGAAGAATAGACAGTTAACCAGAAAACTAATGGGTTCCCTCATGTTTTTTCACTTACAGTCTGAAAACAAAGTGATTATTCATGTCAACAATGAGCAGAGTAAGAACTGCCTAAATAACAGGGGTCTTACAGTTTTTGCTGTAGAAGTGGCACCAAAATCCATGATGGTAAGGGGTTTTTTTTAATTTTTATTGCTCAGCCAACTTAAAATCTAAGCGATAAGAAAATCATATGACATCTTTATAGTTTTCTTTTGTAGATCTTTTATCATGAGATAGGAGCATGTGGAGAGTGGCATCTTTGTGACCAGTACAGATCAGATGTAGTTCTTGATGTTTTGTTATAAAAGTCCATAACAGTTCAGTTTTTCATACTTGGGCCTGTCTCAGTTTTCCATCCAATACATTACCATTTACTAATAGTTTTAATAATCCTTTTCTAAGGCTGTATTTTCTTTTTATTTTTCACTTTAGCAAATTTTAATCAGATACATTGATACCTGTGAGGGACAGATCAAGCATGCACTAACCAGAAAGAGCAATAAATGCATTGCAGTCCTTCTGCACAGTGTGATTTGCAGACAGCTGCTTCTGTTAAACTTGGCTTAAGGATGTTTAGCCACAAGGCATTTTGATCTCCTGATCCTTGTTGCAGAGCTGGGCAGGCTGTAGTGAAAACTCTAAATGAGAGTTCTAAGGGATAGAATGTGAAAATGCATTACAAATGCAGATGATGTTTTTCTTCATTTATTTATGAATAAAATCCTGGTTTTATTATTCTAAAAGTACAGTCCCTTTGTTTAAAAGAAGAGGCTTCCAAGCTATTTTATATTTCCCAGCTTTCCCGTGTGGATTCAAACCCATTGTAAACAGCACAGTCCCGTGACACAGGCAGGGCTGGGGCCTATTCTAATACTGCTGCTGACACTTTAGATATCCATAGGTTGGTCCTCTAAGGTGTTTTTTAGTTGTAATTTAGGCTTCATTCAGTACTGGGTTCAGTGGCTCTGTGAATGTTTTGCTGTCATGTAATTAAATTCCGTGGTAATTTTTGCCCATCAGCTGTCAATATGGATGAGGAATGTTCATCATTTAGTGGTGTGTTCATCATTTTGCTTACAGAGCACGTGAGGTGACAGTTCTCCAAACCCAGCTGTTTCACCTGTTTTCTCTCTCCTGTCCAGGTCTGTCAGCACGTGGTGCCCCTGAACGAGCAGGAGGAGTGGATTTATAACTGTGTGCACTCCCTTGTACGTTAAACCTTCTGGTTACAGAGTTGGGAGCATTCACACCAAACCAGGAGTGGTTTTTGGCAGCTTCCAGACAATTTATAATCTTGTCCTTCTCAAAAAGCTGCCATACATTTGCGCTCTGCAGAGTTTGATTTGTTAAAGCCAATGAATCACATATTTCTGATATCACTTATTTCTGCTAAAGGCTGTGAAGAAACACGTACAGTGATAGATTAGGAGGGAATAAGTGTAAGTATGTAAAATCCTTGACAGAATAAATTATTGGTATGAAAACACTGAGGCACAATAAAAATTAGTGCTGTTCAGTAGAAATACAACTGACAGCTATAATATAATAGTGTTTATAAAGGCTGGTTTCCCTAAATATGCTCTAGTTTTCTATAACATATACTGTAGTTCCATCACAGGCTGGAACTGCTTCACTGAGGAAAAACTTACTTTGGTGAATGACTCTGGTGGGTTCCTAATTAAACACTGATGTGGTTTTGGTGTGAGAAGGATAAAGGAATGAGGCTCAAGATTTTATTTTGCCTCTTTCTCCTTTTTTCCCCTCATTGATAATACTCATCTTGCACTTTTTCTGTAATGACTGCCTAATTTTATACTCTTTTATGTAAAATAAAATCTGCCTTTTTGTATGTAGTAAAGAAATATTACCATTTGAGAAAAATGAAGGTTTGTCTTGGGCTCTTGACTGTTAACAACAATTAATTATTTCCAGGGTAGCTGAAATAAGGAGACTGAAGTGCACCAAGTTTAGGCTGCAACAGCAAAGAAAACCAGCTTTGAGGTACTAAAAATATTCATCTTACTTTTCTGGTTCCTCTAAATGTCTGTTAATGTGGGGGAAAAAAAAGGATGACCCTACCCACTGGATGCTTAAAAAGTGTCTGAGTTTAAAATAGCTATTAAATGTACGTGACCTCATGTGTAAGGGCAGCGAGGAGCGTTGCAAAGCTATTTTTATCTGCCATAACTCCTGCACTCTGCTGTTCCTCTGCTGTAATCTTACACTGGGCAAGTAAATGTCAGTGCCAAAAGGAGAGCTGGGCTCTGATTTACACACTTGGTGCTAGGGCAGGTTTCCTGGTAATCCTTTAGTTTCCCATTTTTTCCCCATAGCGAGTACAGTAGATGTGGTTTTCATTTTCAGAACTGTCTAAAAGAAGTAGAAGTTGAGGCCACACAAATATTTGGTGATCTCTAGCTCTGCCTGAGCTCTTGAAATGCTGCCTCAGGCAAGGTGTGGGTAAATCAGAAGTTCCCAGCTACGTGTCTAAGGAGGAGTTAGGAAATAATGAGACACATTCTCTGTAGAACAGACACTAGAAAGTGAGCAGCCCATTATTTGCATTTCTCTTGTTTGTCAAATCAATCTTTTTAGATGTGGTAGAAATTCATATGCAACTCTCTCTGCATTTTAGGAAAGGAATGGTTAAGGCTGAAGGAAGAGCTTAGTGGAGAAATCACTGCACAGGAAAGACTTGGTTTTGCTGCAGGTAAAAAACATGGTACAGCAACAGGGGAACCTCATGTATGTTCTGATCCTCTTGCTGCTAGGAAGGGTTTAATTAACCAGATTTTAAAGGGGGAACATGAGCAAGCTCTCCATGGCAGGCTCTGCCTTTCCTGCCCTGGAGGAGATGAGAATAGAGATCTCAGAATCTACAGATTATTTTCCAGTTTGCTTCAAGGTGCCACCAAGACAGAAAAACATTCCAGCTTCTCTTTTCAAGGCTGAACATAGGTACCAGCTTATTTTCTTGAAGGGGAGACATTTGAGAGAAAAAGTGTCTGTAACACCTGTAATTTTAATTTCTGGAATTACTTTACTTTTGAGAACTGGTGCTGTAATAACAAAGTTCAGCTTCTTCGTGGGTGTACTAGCACTGACCTTCCCTGACCAACCTTCTGGGGGTATTTGGGGGGGTCCTGGTTGCATGGGGTGGTCACTTGAGGCCAGGGCCTGCCTGTTGTAGGGCCTGTGGTGACATCCTGCTGGTAGCTGTAGGGACATGGAGGGTCTGGAGCACCAGGAGCAGCTGGGGGGATCAGGCTGGAGAAAAGGAGGCTCAGGGGGGACCTTCTCACTCTCTGCAACTCCCTGAGAGGAGGGTGGAACCAGGTGAGGGTCAGGCTCTGCTCTAAGGGAACAAGGGACAGGACAAGAGGAAATGATCTCAAGTTGTGCTGGGGGGGGTTAGGTGGGACATCAGGAAGAATTTCTTCACGGAAAGGATGATCAGGCTTTGGAAGGGGCTGCCCGGGGCCGGGGTGGAATGCCCATCCCTGGAGGGATTTAAAAACCCTGTGGATGTGGCATTTGGGGACATGGGTTAGTGGTGGCCTTGGCAGTGCTGGGGGAACAGTTGAACTCCATCACCTTAGAGATCTTTTCCAGCCTAAACCATTCCATGATTCGTGACACCTGGCCCAAGCAGAGCACCCACCCACGGAGGTGCCCAGTGCTGTGGCAGGACAGGGGAGCTCAGTGCTCCTCTCTGCACACCCAGAACTCGGCAGCGCGGCACTCGCACCCTCTGGGAGCAGGACCGGACACGGCAGGGCAGGGCAGGGCAGGATGCTGTGTCTTCTCTCCGCTGGGTGCCCGGGCGGCCGCGCGGGTGGTGCCTTTAAGGGGCGGTCTCGGGGCGGTGCTGGCGGCGGGGCCGGTCCGGCCCGGTGCCCCCCTGGCTCCCGGAACTCTCCCGGCGCCGGCCATGGTGCGGATCGAGACCGTGAAGACCAAGCCCTACGGCGACCAGAAGCCGGGCACCAGCGGGCTGCGCAAGCGGGTCACGGTGTTCCAGAGCAATGCCCACTACACCGAGAACTTCATCCAGAGCATCCTGGCCACGGTGCCGCCCGCAGAGCGCCAGGAAGCCACGCTCGTGGTGGGGGGCGACGGCCGCTTCTACATGAGGGACGCCATCCAGCTCATCGTCCGCATCGCCGCCGCCAACGGGGTAAGGATCCGGGATCCGGGATCCCGGAAATCGCTGGCGCTTTGCGTGTCCGCGGCGTGGAAGTAACTCGGTGAGTGACAGATGAGCTGACGAGGCTGCCGTGGGCACAGCTCGCGGTGCAGGCAGGAGAACCCCCCCGGCAGCCTTTCCCCCCTTGCGGGACGTGCGGGAGCGAGCGGACATCGGCCAGGGAGGAGGCAAACACCACTTTCCTCATATTCCTTCTTCCTTCGGGCCGCCGGGGGGTTTTCCAGCTGAAACACAAACCAGTGCACAGCGTGCAGGTGGTGAGGTTTGGGAGGGGAGCGGCGTTCCCTTCCACGACACTGGGATGTGTCTCCGTGCTGGGGTTTCATCCCTGTTGCTTCATCTTGGTCCTGTCACTTGGGCAGCCCGAGGGAAGCCCAGCGGGGACCGAGATGTTGGCAGGGAGAGCTGCACTGGAGTTTGTAAAGGGAGGCTTTTTCCTGCATTTTGTGTTTTCCAAATGAAAAATATCCCCTTCTCTTGGGACACCAACATCAGCAGCAAACATTCTTCCTCATGGACCACGAAGGAGGGAGTGGGCTAAGGATGTTTGGTGCTCTGGGTTGGACATAGGGTAAAACCTTAGAGTTCCCTATTTCAGCTTACCAGTGCCTCAATGACCTTAAAGATCTGAGTACTTACAAAAAGAATTAGCAATTTGAGATCTCTACCTTCTTAGGGCACAAAAAAAGCAAATAACTGGTTTATTTGGAAGGGTTTTAAGCTATGTAGAAATCTGCTTTTTTGTGATGTGTGGTTCCCTATTCCAGCATCCCTGAGCAGCACCAGCCTTGCTCTGTGCACCTCTGGAAGTGATGGATAGTGCAGCCTTCCCTGGTGGAAAAGCAGCAGACACTGGTGTATTTATCTGTTCTAGGAAGGGGTTGTAGTTGGAACATGCAGCTTTCATGCCTGACAGCACACACAGACAGGATCCCTATGGATCACTGTGAATAAGCAGAATGGGAAACTTGTTCCCTGGCATAAAGTGTTTGTGCAGGTTTCTGGATGTGCACTCGGGGCCTGGCGGGATGTGGCAGCTTTCCAAGCACTGAGTTCTCCATCATCTGCACTTCAGCTCCATCCCAGGAGTAAGGAAAGGCCTGGAGGTAGAGCCATGCTGGGTGTGAGGAGGTGTTCTGGGAGGGTGTGCAGGCACTCACGTACGTGCAGAGCTGAGCTCGCTGCCAGAGCTGCAGCGGGTCCCAAGGGGTGCCCTTGCCAACAGCAGTTTGTCTTGGAGCATTTTGTCCACATGAATTCAAAGTGCTGGGAGAGAATTTGCTCAAAAGGCAGGGAAAATGGGAGGTGGAGGAAGAACACATGTGGAAGAATATGTGGGTTAATAAAGGGACAGCAGGTAAAGCCTGAATAAGTAACCAGAGGAGGTACAGAGGGGTGATCTACAAAGTAAAGAGCTACTGAAAACTTGATGTACAGTTATTGGCTACATTTGGTATAAGGCAGTGCAAGTATTGCCAAATTTAAGAAGGGCAAAATCTCAAGAAATGAGGTGACTAAAAATAGTAGTTTTTACTAAAATTTTAATACATCTTTTTTGTGCTTACCTTCCTGTTTTGGAATGGCTAAGGGATGGTTGCTTTGTGGTTTTTCCCTGTAATTGTAAATATTAGTTCCTAGTGGTTACCACAGTGTAGTTAAGGAAGAATCTATGAAAATCCTGTTTCTTCATAGTAAATGTGAAGTAACTAGAAGTTACCAGCCCTTCAAAGAGAAGGGTGGACAACTGCTGTTAACTGGTAAGAAAGTGTCCAATAGAACAGGGAACAGCACATGGAGACTCATTCCTGGAGCCTTTGGTTTTGTCTGAGTGCTGGGGCTCTTGGAGATCACCTGATTCCAGCACCAGGACTCAAGGAAGGATTCAGTGTGAGAAATACTGAGAAATACAGAGAAAACGAGTGCTGGAAAACTGCATTTCTGGTCCTAGGGATTAAGAGGTGATTGGATGAATACTTTAAAACCATGTGGTCTTAAGACCTGGCTGAATGATCCTCTGGAAACACAGGACAGACCTGAGGGCCACAGTTAGTTAGTTTGTTAGTTTTACAAGTAAAAAGAAAGGATGCTAAACTGAGTTTTAGTTTTGTCTCTAACTGGAGTGGTTAATATGTAACTAAGTAGTTATATTTTACTGGCAATTCAGTTTGGAGTTGTAGAATTAAGGAATGTTTATCTTGTTTTTAAGTTTGCATTTATATAAGTAAACTGCAACAGAGGTTGTTGGGTTTGGCATCCAGGGTTGCCTCCCTGCTTTGTTTTGGTCTGTGTGCCAGGTTCCCTGGATGTGATTCCCACATAGTGAGTCTGACTCTTAATTACATGAATAAAAGCTTGAAAACTCCTGTTGGAGCATTACATGTCAGTAGAATGGCAGTGCAACAGCTTTATTTCAAAAACAACCAGAAATGACAGAACTGAAGCTGTAAATCCAGATCTGATCATATAACCAGCACCAGGCTGATTCACTGACATTGTCACCTGCTATTCCACAAATTTACTGTGCCCTTGGTTCCTTCTTAACTAAACAGTTTTCCAAGAGCTGCAAAGTAGCTGGAAGGTGTTTTGAATGCCAGGCAGTGCTTTGCATGCTAAATACTGCCTGGCTTTGTTTTACAGCTGCAGGACACAGGGATTTTATTAGAAATGCTGCTCTCTAC